AAAATATAACTAATGCAATTACAAAATGACTTAACTATAATAATTTTTTAAAGTATTAGTCAACTAATAATAGTAATAATTGTATTATTTGATCATCACTGTCAAAGATCATGTGATAAAAACAGTCAATTTAAAAATTGGAATGTATTGAGCCTTCAAATCTTGTTAGATTTCTTTGAATATTTTTACTTTTAAGAAATTAAAAAGTAGTATACATGAAAACAAATGGATTAGCCAAATAAAAAAAAAATAATCAATGGAACTGAAAGATTCCTTGAATACTGGTTGTTATAAAGAATCAAGAGTGGTCTCCCCTTATTTTGTTACTCTCCTCTTTGAGAGGGCTATTTCTGTTTACTGGGACTATAAAAGAACACTATACACAAACCTTGTATTCTCATTTGACTAAAGCTTTCTTAAACCCTACACCTGTGTACTTTTGTCATTACACTGGTATTATTTTTTGATTGTATGTTTAAACCTTTGAAATGGGAATTTAATTTTTTAAACTAAAAGAAAATGAACCACTAATACCTAATTGAAGGAAGTGTTATTTTGTGTTTGGTTACAAATTTTTAAAAATATTTTGACAAAATCTCATTTAATTCCAGCATTGAAAATGGAATGTATCTTAAAATCAGTATTTACAAACTTTCATAGGTCATTCTGTCTTTCTGTGTATGTTTATAGCATGTTAGTATAGTAAAAAATTATTGCACATAGTCATTAACTTTTATGACTTTTCTAGCACCATTATTATTATTATTTTATTTTTACTTAATCTCATATCAAAAAAGAGGTTTTAATACCTAGGGCATTACCATTTTTCTTTCTTAGTCTCATGTTTTCAAATCTTGAATCTTCAAAACAAAATGGGTTCACAGAAAGAATAATAATATTGAGATATTAATCATTTGTAATACTATGTTTTAAATTTTACAAATATTGAGAAAAAATGTCCTTTCAATTTTTTGTATTCGTTTAAATTCAATGCTTTTCATAATGGGCAGCAAAAAGAAAATTTAATAATTGCAATAAAAACAGACATATTTAAATCAAACATCAGCAAAGAATAACAGAAAAAAATATTTACCGTAAAGAGTTAAATAGAAAAACATAAAAAGGGGGTAAGAGATAAAAAAAAATGATTAACTGGCTTTCATTTTTCTCATCAGAATTCTGGTTTTTAGTAAAATTTGGGGATATTTTTCTTTACTCACCCCCTTTTATTTATTTAGCTCTTTATGTTAACTATAAACTTATTTTTTGTGGTCATAGCATTATTATTTAGTATATTTGTTCTTGCATTCATTAATCCTGTTAAGAATGCTGCATAATTGGTATTGTCGATATTTTCATTTATATCGCTGTATTAATCTCTACTTATCTAGTGATTCTCAATAAATATCAATGACAATTGTTTTTTTTTTCAATTTAATATATCCATTTTTAAAGAGATTATTAAATTTTGCACCACTTTTGAAATATTTAAAAAGATTGATTTATTGACAGTAAGAGAACAAAGAAGTATATTCTTGTTTTCTAATTCAAACCTGTTTGCTAACATTTGAGTTTTAAAAACATAAAATTTTAGGAATGTATCATGTTAGGGGGGGGAACAAATGTTATTTGGAGGTTGTTAGTTACAATAAAATTTTGATTTTTAAAAACAAAAAACTTTAAATTTCTGAAAAGTAAGGCACAGTAGATCACAGATATTGAGTGCTGTGATATTATGTCCCTTAAATACTCAAGTCAATTAGACTTTGTTAATTATGTGACAAGTAGTAATTGGAAACTTCTCTCATTACTTAAAGAAGTGGTTCTAATGATCCTGAATAGGGTGGGTGCAATAGAGAATACTTTGTAGATGTTAACCTGGTAAAATCTCATTGGTAACCTAGTAAATTAATCTGGTAAAATCTCACTGTTAGTTTTGACCTCAGGTAAGAAATTGTAAATTACCTATAAATATAAAATTGAATTTTGCTAATCATGAATCTCCATATTCTAGTGACAGTAGCTTTTGGCTTAGTGTATCAAATTGACACTAAATTTTGGCTTTTTTAGCATAAGCATTTGGAATCCTCTTGCAATGGCACAATTTGAATTGACCAAAAATATGATCAACACTTTTGTCATTATTATGATAATGTTTTGATCATTGTGCCCTCCACCTATCTTCAGATATTTATTGATTCAGGGAATATGAACTACACCATTTATTTAATTCACAAGTGTAGAGTATTTTTTTCTGCTCTCTATGTCTAGGGATATTGTGACAAGTTCTTACTTAGTACTGCTTTCCATATCTAAGGATATCATATATTTTTTATTATTTATTACTGCTGCCCCTGTCTAGGGATATCATGTCTTGTTCTTATTTAGTTATTTACCATATTGTATTAAAACACTGGTGCTCTAGTACTAAACAAGAACAAAACAAGGTATCGTTAGATATGAGGACAATTTACCCCATAGATTAAATAAAGGGTTCAGTTTCATATTCCCTGAATGTTACACAGAGGGAACAACAACTGAAACATTACGATAATAACAACAAAGATGAGGTCCTTTGTTGGAATGTAAATAATGATAACTCCTCATCCCAGAAATTAAGACAGAAATTATTAAAAATATTGTTGAATAATTTCATTGACTTAACAAAAGATGTAAGTCTATATTTACCTTGCCTAATATTGCAAATATGCTCTATTAAAATTTTAGTAGCAATGGTTCTCACTGAGGTTGCTGAAAATGAATACCAAAACTACTCAAATTATTATAGCAAAACAACATAAATATGAAGCAAACCAACCAATTAAGTTTCTGATGAGATGGTCACATGACTAAACACATCCACTCCCACGAATCTACCACCACAATTGATATCTAAGATTTGTCTATCAATATACTTTCAATTTGAAACACATTAATAGCAAAATTAGGCATGGAAAATAAATAAATAAATTACCTAAAAAAAATTAAAAAAAAAAAAAAAAAAATGGAATTTTTTTTCACAATTTTTGAAATGAAGTCTCATATATAAAAAAAAAACTGCATTATTGGTTAGGCTAGTCTGTTATATGAGGAAATACAGTATGCGGCAGAAGTACCTCCCACATAATGGCAATGGTGTCTTCATCTAGCTGATGTCTGACAATTATGTGGGAGGTATTTCTGCTGACCCTGTAGATTGATAAAAGGTCTTGGTTTGATTTTAACGAAGATTAAAAGGAAATCTTTTTTTCTACATAAAAATCTATCTTGGCACAGGTTGTGAACTTTTTTTTGTTCTTTTGACTTTTCTTTACAAAAAACATTCACAACATTTTGTTCATTTCAAAGAAAAAAATTTTTTTTCTATACTTGCAAAAAAAAAAAAAAAAAAGTATAATAATTTTAAAGATTTTCTGATTTTTCTTACAAAAGAAAAAAAAACATGATGATGATTTCTGTCCGCTCTGTTCAAAGAAACAGACCGACAGTTATAAGTATCCTTACTGTGACAGCAGTAAAGTGGTGTAGTTAAATACTGGTCAATATTAAGTTCTGGACAAACATATGTCCTTGTCACTCACAGGATATCATGTTACTGTAGAACAAATGAAACACTTCTTCTTTCGACCAACACAGCATTGATGGTAAGCATGACCTGAAAAAAAAAAAATTAAACAGTCAAAGAAAAAAAAAGTGTTGGCATTTCTAGAATTAAAAATATGGATTAGATTCAAGTGAATGCTTAAATAAGGAACAAACAGGAAATTTTTATAAACATGACATGTTTCACTATTTTAGTTTTATCAGAAATTTTACACTAACAAAAATTTCTAATGAAGCTAAATAAATACTGAAACATTTTTTAACCAACTGTTCACCCAATACAAGACAGTCAAAATAGAATAATTTTGTTTTTACAATGGTATTCACCCTATACAAGGTTCAAGAGCTACTTGAGGATGAAGTTTACAGAGTAAATGGCAGAGTTATGGGGATATGTAGGGAAGATAATGGTTGACACTAGACTTGAAAAAGTTAAGATTGTTTTTACTGGATGAAGTTGTTGTAAGTGATAGAAGTAAGAAGTGCAGATTATGAGGATATGTAGGAAAGATAATGGCTGACTCTAGACTTGAAGTGGTTAAAATTTCAGTGATCAGGAAAGCAACGTCTTGGGAGTCTTGTGAATTGATTTGGTTTGTTTTGTTTTAGGGAATATCAAACTTGAATGGGTTATTTAATGCTGGTAATATTTTTTTCCAAAAATGTATTGCTGGCAATATTTTTTCCTTAAAAAATTCATTGCTGGTAACATTTTTACAAAAATGTATTGCTGGTATTGAAACCTATTTTTACACTTTCATAGTGTTTTGACACTAGTTTAGGGGTTAACTATTTGCCTATAGCTGGGACCCTAACTGGTGCTACCACCCCGTATCAGGGTGGACCTGGAAACACCAGCAATTAAGAGGTGGTTCCATGCTCCTCAAACACTCCGGATCAGAGGCCTTGCTGTATCACCCAGGATGCAGATGTAGTTTATCATCATACCCAGGATGAGAAGTCTTGTGAAGAAGCTGTCTGAATGGAACTTCTTCCTTACTAATGGAATACAAAGGGAATGGGGATGATTCATCCAAGTTTACATAGCATGACATATCTTAGAAAGGGGTGGAACTTATAAATATAGTTCATCAGAATATTTGCCATGAAAATAGTGATAGATTGATTGATTTATTTTCTACAACTTATCAACTCTTTCCAAGTTATTTAAAGCTAGAAAATATTTTTAGATTGTAAGAATTTTTTTTTGGAGATAATAATTGTTTAGTGATACAAGTCTTGCTTAATTAATCCATATCCAGGGGAAAAGAAGTGGACTTGTACCTTTCCCAAGTGTATTTGTACATTAAGTGAATATAATGAACCCAACTGAAATTAGAACTCAGCTCTCCAATTAACAATTCTGAGCGATTATCCATCACATGCACATGCAATCTCACAGCACCTGGTATTCCCAACCAGTCACCCATCTAGATAAAGACCAAGCTCAATGTTGATTAACTTTGGTGATCATATGGGAACTGGTGTTTAATAGTGATAGCTTAGTGAGATGTTTGCAACATGTCAGATTTATGAAGAATTCTTACTTCTTTCTCAGATCAAAAGCTTCAGCACAATAAGATCAAGAAAGATTAACTTATTGAATGAGACATCCAAGCAGTGACCCCAGAATAAGAATAAGGTTTGGTTATAGGGCTTATATGGATTAGGTACAAACTTACATTTTTATTTTTCACATTGAGGTCTTAAATTAATTCAATAAATCATCAGAATGGCTTCAACTTGAAGAATATATGTGAATTGTCCAGATTCCTTTTGCTCTCTTCAAGGAATCTTTACAGTACCAAAGGAAAGAATGAACATTAGTAATTTTATGAAGAGAGCCTTCTTGTCTTACTCTCAAATTGGACTTAGTGATCAGGGCACTTTTTGAACCCAAGATGTTTTTCAAATAATAATATATATATATGTAATAGTATAAAAATCTTTTCAGCCACACTACAAATTCTGATATTGGCCAGATTTTTTTAGAAAGGTTTTAGTCAAGTTTTATTGTATTTTGTCGGGTTTTTTTTTTTATCACATTTGACTGCTATATTCTTTGTTTGAAATTTCCTCAAATTTAAAGTTAGAGGCTGAAGAGGAAAAAAAGATGAAATGTTGTAATGAAAGGCAAAATCATTTCTTGTCTTATCTTGGGGGTGGGGAGTAATCAATATTTACAATTATTGTGGAATGAAAAAAAGCAATTTCTGCACTTACCACAATCAAATACCACGGTGCCAGACTCCATGTGAGAGATTACCTCAGACACATTCAAGTTGCAGCATGGACAACGGCTACAAATGAAAAAGAAAGAACATCGATGAACAGCAATTAAACCAAATTACAGATAAAACATTTTATCCGTCGGTATTAAATCCTAAATAGCATAACAGGTAAAGACATAACTATTTTTTTTAAATAGGTGTAATGCTAACTATGCAATTAGTGTTTGTAATCACATGATTGGTATTTGAATTTTCATTGGATACTGGACAAAGGAAAAGACCAATGTCTGATCAAATGTGCATGTGGGTGGAGGAAGAAGTGGTATAATGCTTAAGTCATTTAAGAAGTGTGGTACAAGTAACACAGTCCATGAAATCAAGTTCTCTTTGATCTCAATATTGGATCCAATGATGAAAAGTGATTCTTTTCCAAGTGATAGTGAAAACAAAAAGAATTTTATAGTTTTGAACCAAACTAAATAACAGTAAACCAACTTATTATTAATGGTATTTTATTATTTTGAGGTTTTGTGTTTAGAACAACATATACTAAATTTTAAATTTCAGATTGAATTTTTGTTCAATAAAATATCTATTAAATATAAAACTTTCTTCTAAATAAGGGTGCATCTTATGCACTAGTGTGGCTTATATTCTGAAAAATACAGTAAGTACCTCTGAGTAATTAGTTTTGAACAATTTTACATGTTTACAATATTTACAGTGTTCAGACTGTTGTCCTCATCTTGGTTGTCATATTCACAATGTTTTGACCATCTTCAGGTGATTGGAATTTTAAACTGAACCCTTTATTTCATCCACTGGAGTAGATTGTTCTAATTCCATGTGCCATGCCTCTTTCGAATATATTAGTTTCAATTATTTCCCTTAGTAAATCAACTCTCCAAAACTGAAAACTCTAACTCTCAAAACTCAGAGAAATAATGGAAACTTAGATATCTAGAAGAGGCATGGCATGTGGAACTAGAACAATCTACTGCAGTGGACAAAATAAAGGGTTTGGTTCAAAATTCTAATCACCTGAAGAAGGCCAGAGCGTACAGCAGCTGAAATGTTGTGAATAAAGATGAGGACAAGTCTGAATGATGTAAATAGCGTAATTAGTTACAATAACTCATCTCAGAAATATAGACAATTTTACATGAGCCATCAAGTTCAAAGGTCCTTGGAAGTAATCTGGGTATATACTGCCAATTAACACAGCTAATTAAAACATCTAATTAAAACCTGTTTATAAGTTGATTAGCTAATATACCTGTCTATGCCAAGTAAGAGGTAAAGATTTTGATATATATTGACAGTAAAATGCTTTTTTAGTATACTGTGATGAAGAGATGGCAATGATAATAGTAGCCATTTCCTTATGTGAAAAAAAAAAATCAGCAGCCATTGATTGATCAGTTGAAATTTATAAAATCTTTCTGTTAAAAGAGTTTTTTTTTAAGAAAATAGGTTTCTCAAGTCCAGTAGCTGTTACCACTCGTTCCAGTACTGATGGGGGCTTCCTTTCTTTGAAGTAGTGTGGAATATCAACATCTTGATTACATCATAATTTTCTCTTTGAGCTGCTATCCCTTTTAGTTGTTACTGCTGTTGAAAGTCCTTGAATGATGTTCTTTCTGTTATTTGGTACAGTTCTTTGTTTGATTTTGTAGCACCAGACCACATGGCTAGAAGAGGGCTGGTCCTCAATAAGACCTACAGGTTTCATTCATTCAAAGCCATGTTTTAAAATAGAAAATAGTTGTATATGTGTGTAAGATATGAAAAAATAGTTGCATGTGTGTGTAAGATTGTGCAAGAGCTGTTATGTGAAACTGCTGCATATATGATGTGTTCAGTGGAGGAGGGATGTATTCAACAATTTAATAATTTTGCAGCAATACATGCTTAAAGGTTTCAGGCAGTTTCCATCAACATGTCTTTTCATGGTTAGCTATAAGCAATTGTAAATGTAGGACTATCTTACACTTAAGTAAAATAATAACAATAATATTTGTTAAGAATTTATTACAAGAAATATCAAGTTTTACAGAAACATTGTTGATAATTATGTATTTAGTTACGTAAATAAATAAAAATAATATAAATTTCGATGGTATATTCAATTTTTTGTTAGGTATTTTTCATTTTCTCCTTTGTTATTGACAGCATTTTAGAATATTTTGGCTGCAATGCTAAGTTTCCTAAGTTGAACAAACTGAAGCTGTTTCATATATACTTTGTTACCTCTCTTTTCCATTGTTGTTTTTAAATCGCTTTCTTCCAGTCATTTTGATGGGCAATAGTGAAATTCTGAAATTTAGAATGATCTTATTCCATTTCAAATATAAAGCTTGCAAAAAAAGAATATTTTAAATTAATATATGACCTAAAATAAAATGCTTTTGACAAAATCCTTAATGAGTTCCCTATAATTATGTAACAATAATGTAATGATATTCCGCAGACAAATCTACAGTTTATATTACCTGATCTCATTGCATGGTTACGAACTATAAACCTAAATTGAGCTTGAAATATTGTGTATTCAGCTCTAATCTTTTGTAAAATACTTGATTATAATATAAGTAATTTGCAATTTTTGATTTTTTGTTGAATACACTCCTCCTCTGACGAATGCATCATATATAGTCCTGAAAAGTAAAATAACAAATGGTATGTATGGCTATGAAATGTTTATTTTGCAATATTTTTTTTTTACAACTTACTAACCCTTTGTGATTACTTAAATGTCGAAAAATATTTCACATTCTAAGAATAATAATTATTTTGTGAGTGAATATTGCATTAACTATTTTTTGAGAATAACAATCATTTTTCTAGATACAAGTTCTACTATTCAACCCATTGTTGGGGAGGAGATACATACTTTTCCCAAGGGTATTTGCTCATAAGTGGAATTCGAACTCTGCTCTCTGATTTTTTAATTCCAAGCCAATATCCATTTCACCACCCATATATCCACACTTTCCTGTCAATTGTTTGTTTTTTTTTTGTCATTATTTGCATGTGTCAAGGTTCATTTTCAGTGACCCTGGTCTTGGGCATGGATATTGTTTATTTGCCTAAAAGAATAATGAAACTGATTCCATCTGTTTCTAGTAAACTTCCAATAAAAAAAAAATATGACAAAATGGAAATATATTTTGTGGAAAAATTGTGTGATAAAACATGCTGGCTTTACTTACTATTCTACTAATGAAGTCCTTTATCAAATGCTACAAGAAAGTAATGAAATAATGAAATCTTCAGAATTCTTTCCAAAAACATTTGAAAAGATCAAGATGCAGCTTTGAATAAAGCGAGAATTGGCTGAACCCTCAAACTAGTCTCATCTTGAAATTTGAACTTCTAAATTAGCTGAGTGATTTATTTAGTTTCATTATGAACTTATGGTCCACAAAGAAGTACAATGTCCTCAGCTTAATTTATATTAAGCCCACCATGTCATCCAATGCCAGCATGTCACAAACATGTTCAAAAGGATAGAGACAAAGGGGAAGATTTGATAGGAAACACAATGAAAAAAAATTAATATCAGAAGAATAAATAGGATAGTGGAGTTTATACAAGAAAAAAGATTAAAACTAAAAAAATATGTTACCAATAATGAAATTTAGGAAAAAAAATGTGTTGCATTCAATAATTCTCAATATAAAACTTCATAGATTTTTTAAGATTTATTTTTGATTACATAGTTATGGGATGTGGGTTTTAGAAGTTTTTGTACATTTTTTTTTTTTAATTTTCTTTATTTTTTTTTTTCTTTTTACTGTGATTTGATTGCAGAGTTTAGTGCAAATGGATTTTTCCAATTTAATCCATGGAATATTTAATCTTTCTAGGAAGTTGGAGTAAATGTTGTTGGGGAATGGGTTGAGTATAGAAAAGTAAAGAAGTGAAAATGACAGTGAGTGATAGTCCAACCATTGCCAAAAGAAGAAAACTATTTTCATAATAAACAAAAAATTAAATTTTACAAATCTTAATTATAATGGACTTCTTGCCCATTTCTTTATTATTTCTTTTCTATCTTAAAAAAGTTAACTTTTTTTTTGCTTTGTAAATTTTAATTTGTCCTTCACTTGTGGTTCCTTAAAGGTACTAAACATGTTTTAAAAAATTAGAAAGAAAAAAAAAAGGCATTTAATCTGTCATTCCCCCACAAAATATCTTTTCCCAGCCCCAGGTAAATACATCACCAGTTAATTAGTAAACTTAGTTTATTGCAGGCAT